TCTTTGTCGATTTAGTCATGTCGGTCTGTCCCCACGTATGTTGAAATCACGACAGAGATCGTGATATATAAGATAGAGCTCTGAAATTTCACATCAATATTGGGTATTTTGGGGGATTTTGTGCAGTGTTTTCAGCCGAATTGGCTGCAATTTAGCATTTTGTTTATATTGACCCAATTTCCACATCATGGCGGAGAGTTTCAATAGTTCGACGCGGCCGAACATAACAAAGTTTTTGTTTGTCTCTACGGACGAACTGAAGAAAGTCTCTATAGAGGGAATTTTTTAGACGAGTTGAAGGGAGCCACAATTTATAAGATGAATGAAGTTCTTTAGACGAGTTTAGGGGAGTCTACTATAGACGAGCGGAAGGGAGTCTACTATAGACGAGCGGAAGGGAGTCTACTATAGACGAGCGGAAGGGAGTCTACTATAGACGAGCGGAAGGGAGTCTACTATAGACGAGCGGGAGGGAGTCTACTATAGACGAGCGGGAGGGAGTCTACTATAGACGAGCGGGAGGGAGTCTACTATAGACGAGCGGGAGGGAGTCTACTATAGACGAGCGGGAGGGAGTCTACTATAGATGAGCTGAATTAAATCTCTCAAAGCATGGATTTTGAAAAAAAAAATTTTTTTTCGATGACCAACTCAAGGCGTGGATTTTTAAAACATATTTTAGTGAAATTTGATCATTTCGAAACGTGAGCTTTTTAAACCTATTCCTTAAAAATAAATTGGGAGGATTTCGTGATTGATTTTAAATATTTTCAGGAGCATTTCAATATTTTAAATACATTTCTAAAAAAATATTTTTAGGAGCATTTCGAATTTTTTTTTAAATATATTTCTTAAAAAATATTTTAGGAGCATTTCCACGCGTGTATTTTTAAACAAAAAATATTTTTTCAGTGCCGAACTCAAGGCGTGGATTTAAAATAAATCATCAAGGACCAACTCAAGGCGTGGATATAAAAAATAAAATTTTTCAAGGACAAACCCAAGGCTTGGATTTAAAAAATATATTTTTTTAAGGACCAACTCAAGGCGTGGATTTAAAAAAAAATATTTTTAAGGTACCAGCTCAAGGCGTGGATTTTTAAAAACATATTTTATAGAAATTTGAAATTTGATCATTTCGAAACGTGAGCTTTTTTAAATATATTTCTTAAAAAAAGAATTTTGAGAGCATTTCATGATTTTATTTTTAATATTTTCAGGAGCATTTCGATATTTTCAACATATTCTTAAAAAATATTTTTAGGAGCATTTCGAAACGTGATTTTTATAATATACTAGCGGGCCCGGCAAACGTTGTCTTGCCTAGCAATATTATTTATGTCTAATTTTCGGAATTTTAGGTTTATTTTTATACCGTCCAACATACATTTCTACTACTTATGTATAAGATATTTGATATTGAAAATGTTCAACAGGATTGCTCTAAAATAAAAGTATGAATTTTATATTCGCCCAAGTTTCCAAATATCCATCATCTACTATTAGATGACCCCACACTTTTGATGCTGTGGGGGATTTAGACACGTTTTTAAATCTAATCGGCTGTAATTTGGCATTTGGTTCTTATTTGGTAGAATGAATCGCACTAAAATTGTCTATATTGGTCCACTCTTTGAGGTAACTCCCATATAACGGTGCTCAAAATATTCGGCATTTTGAGGAGTTTGTTCCCATGTTTCAACCATAGTGGCTGTAATGTTTTATTTTGGATGATCAAAACATCTTTACCAAAAATTAGCAACATTGGTAAACATTTTCCGTGTAGCCCCATATAATGGTATCCCCCATTGTTTGGTATTTTCTCATGTGGTGTCAAATCGTCCTTCCATTGTAGTAGCTATAATATACCATAACGTGATATTGAAGGGTAACACACATTTATGAGGAAACATTTCTATATAGGCCCAATACAGGTCCCACTCCATTTTCGGAATTGTGAAGACTTTGACCGAATTTTCTCATAGATTATGCCATACATATTTCCCGTTTAATTTACGGTACATTAAAGTTCTTTCCCCCTTTTACCAACTTTGAACATTATTGTTAAAGATCATGGACAACCTACCACCTAATAGTGTTGTAACATTGTACCAATATAAATATATAACATATTTAAGGAATATACATATGAGAAGATATGAAAATTTCGATCTTAAAAATATTTTTTTATAAATCCACGCACTGTGTTAAGTTGAAAAAAATATTTTTTTATAAATCCACGGTTTGTGTTTAGTTGAAAAAATATTTTTTTAAAAATCCACGCCTTGTGTTAAGTTAAAAAAATATTTTTTTATAAATCCACGCCTTGTGTTAAGTTGAAAAAATATTTTTTTTATAAATCCACGCCTTGTGTTAAGTTGAAAAAATATTTTTTTATAAATCCACGCCTTGTGTTAAGTTGAAAAAATATTTTTTTTATAAATCCACGCCTTGTGTTAAGTTGAAAAAATATTTTTTTATAAATCCACGCCTAGTGTTAAGTTGAAAAAATATTTTTTTATAAATCCTCGCCTTGTGTTAAGTTGAAAAAATATTTTTTTATAAATCCACGCCTTGTGTTAAGTTGAAAAAATATTTTTTTATAAATCCACGCCTTGTGTTAAGTTGAAAAAATATTTTTTTATAAATCCACGCCTTGTGTTAAGTTGAAAAAATATTTTTTTATAAATCCACGCCTTGTGTTAAGTTGAAAAAATATTTTTTTATAAATCCACGCCTTGTGTTAAGTTGAAAAAATATTTTTTTATAAATCCACGCCCTGTGTTAAGTTGAAAAAATATTTTTTTATAAATGCACGCCTTGTGTTAAGTTGAAAAAATATTTTTTTATAAATCCACGCCTTGTGTTAAGTTGAAAAAATATTTTTTTATAAATCCAGGCCTTGTGTTAAGTTGAACCAGTGAGCGGAGCAGTATAGTCGGACGGGGCCGACCATACGATACCCTACACAACTACCACGGAACTCAAATTTTCTGCGGATTTTTATTCCGAGCCTGGGCAATATTTAGTGATATTTGCACCCTCTTGCCCGATTAGAGATAAACAGCAACTCTTCCTCACACTGACATATTTTCCGAATATTACGAGTATTCAGTACAGCTATTGTCCAGATTTTCTTTCACCGTGGGTTGTATTGTGATGTTCGGCTTTCATTTGTGGTCTATAGATCGACTCGAAAATAACACAAAAAACAAGTTTTCGGTCCACTTCACTCCAAAATTATTATCTGATCTTCACCGAAAATTATAGGCGTTGTCCTTGACCATAACTGGAACCTCATGGAACATTTCAAAGCGATCAGCGCTATAGCGCCGTTCTCTAGAGTGATAATGGGTTACTAAATAATATACGAATACGGAGATACCTGTAAATATTTAGGTGTAACTCCCACATCCGGGAACATACCACAACATAATTGGTATTAATTTAAAGGTCAACCACTCCTCTATGATAAAATATCAACTTCTCGGGTCTATGTCCTTCAGGAGTAAATATATACGCTATAGAATACAAATTTTGTCATTTTTCACACAAAAGTCAGGGTCCATTTGACCCGCTAAATATTGACCGATCTTTATCAAAACAGGCATGCTTATTCTTTGGCCCGATCCCCTTCTCCATGCAAAATTTCACGATGTTCGGGCCATTATTGCGGCCTCTGGAGCGACCAGAAAAACCGACAAAAATTTAGTATTTGGTCCATTTCATCCCCTAAATATTAACCGATCTTTCCCAAAAACAATAGGGGTCTTCATTGGCCAGAACCCATCCTACATGCAAAATTTCGTGAAAATTGGTTCATAACTGTGGCCTGTATCGTGTTTACAAATTATAATGGACAGGCGGACGGACGGACACACATGTCTAGATCGACTCAGTCGATATATGACGATCGGTATACTTAAAGGTGGGTCTAGGACCAATATTTCGCGGCGTTACAAACTTTTGGGGCTGCACAAAGCTATAATACCCTGACAACATAGTTGTGTAGGGTATAAAAAATATTTTTTTATAAATCCACGCCTTGTGTTAAGTTGAAAAAATATTTTTTTATAAATCCACGCCTTGTGTTAAGTTGAAAAAATATTTTTTTATAAATCCACGCCTTGTGTTAAGTTGAAAAAATATTTTTTTATAAATCCACGCCATGTGTTAAATTAAAAAAATATTTTTTAAAAATCCACGCCTTGTGTTATGTTGAAAAAATATGTTTTTAAGAATCCACGCCTTGTGTTATTTTTTTAGGAATCTTAGGATTGTGTTGAGTTGAAAACATATTTTTAAAAATCCAAGCCTTGTGTTAAACTGAAAAAGTTTTTGTTTAAACACGCCTTATGTTAAGTTGAAAAATATATTTTTTTAATTCCATGCCTAGTGTTATGTTGAAAAAATATTTTTACACTCCTATATTCTAATTTCTAATTTAGTCGAGAAGCATCAATAAAACGGGGAGCTCCTGTATTTATTAGAAATGTAAAATACCAAAAAAATTGAAACTACGCTCAAACTGATCGATATTTTTCGAATTGGCTAGATATAATGCAAAAAACAATTGAGATTTAATTTGTTTTATTAAAAATTCGCGAAAATATAAAAAAACATCGTAGTTCCTATTAATGGCACCACTCGATATTAAATTTTTTTGAATTCACAGAGAGACACCTTTCTATTTGTGTTTTATTTTATATTCGTAATTTATTTAGATCCTCAACTATCTTTTCATTCAATTGATATTGAAAAATCCACCCTAAATAGGTATTCCTCATAATTCCCTGAAATCACTTATTTAAGAGCCCTTTAAATAACAACACTTGTGTACAAAAGTTGCCACATCAACTGCATAACCTAACAACCGTTACATACTGATTCGAAGATTGGCAACGTCACACTATAACCATGGCTACCACAATAAACATTTTCAAACAATTTACCCAGCTCATAACACAATCCGACCAAGTGAATCTGCTTTAGTTAATTTAATACTTTTTTTCCAATTTCCACCATGGAATATACCTACAAAAAAGAACGACGAAATTTCGGACAGGCCGTTAATTTCAGCAACAAAGATGAGGTCCTCTTTTCGGAAAACTCGAATCGTGAATATTCCAAAGCCTACATCCTTAAAAATCCCATTGATCGAGAGACACAATATGCCAATCAAATGTCCTTGAGTGTGGCGAACACCGACAGGGCCACATACAAGCACACTGGTATTACCCATAACGAAGGTGGCTGGCCCAAGGACATAAATATGCATGACCCTGAACAGACAGTGCGATATAAACGTAAAATCGAGAAAGATGAAAATTATATAACGCAAGTTATGAATTTGACTCGACCCATGGAACAGTATATATTTCAAAATAATGCGGTGAATATTTATGAGAATTATTTTGATGATTTGGAACCAGCACCGCTGCCGGAGCCATGTCGTTCACGTACCGTCAATGTGTATCGTGATCCAAATCCTATAAAGGTTCCCGTTACACATCTGAGTTGGTCTCCGGATGGTGGTATAAAAATGGCTGTCAGTCATTGTGATATGAAATTTCAGGGTGATAAGACGGGACAGAAATGTAATTCCTACATATGGGAAATTGAAAATCCCAATGAACCGTATTTAACGCTGGAACCGAAGGTGCCATGCGTTTGTTTGGAATACAATCAAAAGGATCCAACAAGTTTGGTAGGTTGTTATTTTTATTACTTATGGCTTCATAATAATTTCTATTTTGCTTTAAAGGTTAGTGGTATGTACAATGGCCAAGTGGCGGCCTGGGATACACGCCACGGCAAATATCCCGTTATGATAAGTGAACGTGAAATATGTCATCGTGATCCTGTCAATTCGGTTTTATGGAATAATTCAAAAAGTGGTACCGAATTCTTTTCTGGTGGTTCTGATGGCCAAGTTTTATGGTGGGACACAAGAAAATTAAGTGAACCATTGGATCGTTTGTTAATGGATCCAGTTAAAAGTGATGAACAGGATTTGTCTAGGTCATATGGAGTATCTGTTTTGGAATATGAAACTACAATACCAACACGTTTTATGGCTGGCACTGAAATGGGCATGTTGTTCGGTTGCAATCGTAAAGGAAAGACGCCGATTGAGAAAATTCAACTGAGGGTAAGTTGTGTAAAATCAAATCGTATTTTCGGGATAAAAGCTCCTCAAAAAATTAGAAAAGCAATAAATCCGAAACGAAAAAGGAAATTAATGAAGTAAATTGTTATAAATAATTTATAATTTTTGCAAAGCGGAATCAAGACTCGCACAATGATAAGACCAAGCTAATCTTATATCTGTAAAAATCATATTACTTAAAGGGATTTTATCAGACTGGCAGGTATTCTCACAGGACACCTAAGTCCGTAGGAACATCAGCACACTATTAGGTACGTTGGAATATTTCACAGACCAGTTTTTCAGCTTTGAAACCCTTCCAATATATTTTTTGGAAATCATGACGTTAACCAGGGAACACGAATAGAAAATGCTGAAAGATTTAGGAAAAATACAGAGTTTCTAGGTGTTTGGAGGGATTAACCTCAAACTTTTTCAATTTTTTCGGTTTATCAAAGTGCACAACAGTCCAACTATAAGGTATGTGGTGCTGATCTATCTCATCCCTTTTCAACCTAACGTACCTAACGTAAGTACGAATTTGCAAAACACAACACCCCTTTAATAACCCACATTGATCGTAGCACACTTTTCGTACGACACAAAAGTACATCATCGAATTATTTGTTTTAAACCCCCAAATCTATATCAGACAATGTGGAACTTTGCACAGATAGGAATATCTGACTACACCTTCTGCTACATCTCCGCAAAATGGCCACATATCGATTAACTCCTTTTGTAATATTTTTACAAAACCTTGAGCAATTCCGGGGATGGGAATCCATCAAGGGAATGGAGGGTCTTATTTTAAATCCTGTGTTTTTTTTTTTCGAATATATAAGAAGTCCGAAGATGGAAGACATAGGTTCACTCCTTCTAGTAATATTTTCACAATACCTACATTAAATCCGAAAATGAGGTCTACGACATCTCCTGGTACCCCTTCACAGATGGTCAAAACTTTGATAAAAACATATATAAAGGTAAAAGTGAATACTGTGTGTCAAAATGTCACTAGCCTTAATATTTATCCGATTTATATATTTCGTACAAATTACGGCTATAACATCTGATACTTCCCTCACAAACAGTCACAATTTTGATACCCTTCACCAATAATAAACTAGCCCACAATCAAAATATAGGAATTTTGTACTGGTCCCTTTTGATATTAAGGTGTTTATTGTCACGCATTTTTTCACGACTTCAGATCGCAAATCGGATTCCCATAAAGTAAATTAGGGGATGTTCTGTGAAAATATCAGCGAAATTGGATCAACCTTTTTCGAGTTTAACGTGTTTTTTAATGGGCTGGTGGGAGGTTCTGTAAAGGTTTCAGCGAAATCGGTTCAGGCGTCATGAGGATAGAACGTAAAAAACATATGGGATGTACCACGTCCCTTTCGACGTCCCAAAAACTTAATTGTTTATTTTTATCACAGTGAAATCCTTCATGTTCTGTGAAAATTTCATCGGTTCAGACGCTTTGAGGATAAAGCGTTTTTAAAACCAGGAAGGAAAGATTAAAAGTGAAATCGTTCGGAATTACATATGTGATCTACATATATATTGGAACCAATTTAAATTAATTCATATTCCGATTCCAACACAACTTCGCACACATCATTATGTACTTAATATGTATGGTATTCCAAATTCGATCTTAATCGGACAAACATTGAGAGTTTACATGAAATCAGATGAACATATATATGGGAGCTAAATCTGAACCGATTATTGTGATATGCTATGCACTGTTTCGTGTCAATCGAAAGAAATATAAGGGCATTGGAGCTCAATTTACATAAAATCGGACGAACATAAATATGGGAGCTATATCTTAATATGAATCGATTTCAACGAAACTTCACACACATCATTATTGACTCAATTTGATACGCAGTGCACGTGTAAATTGAAAGAAATATAAGGACATTGGAGTCCTATTTACATAAAATCGGACAAAAATATATATGGTAGCTATATCTAAATCTGAACCGATTTCAATGAAACTTCACACACATCATTATAGACTTAATACAATATCGTATTCCAAATTTCACATTGCACAATTTCGTGTTAATCGAAAGAAATATGGGGGCTTTAGTACTCCATTTACATAAAATCTGACGAACACTTATATGTAGCTATATCTAAATCGGAACCGATTTAAACGAAACTATGTACGGAGCATTCTAGACTCAATTTGATAGGCTATGCGTCAATCGAAAGAAATCGAAATCTGAAGCGGTGTCAACGAAACTTCAAATACGACAATCAATAGTTACTTCAGTGCCCTGTGCCAAATTTTGTTTCAATCGGACAAAAATTTTTACTTGGGAGCTATATCTAAATCTGAACCGATATTTTTTTCTCTATATTTAATAGGGTTCTTCCTTGGGCCAAATATGTGGACTGTGCGAATTTCGTCCAATTCGTATAATAAATGCGACCTGTACTTTGTTCACAAGTACATATATATATATATATATATATTACTAGCTGACCCGTCAAACGTCGTTTTGCCTTATCAATATTGCCATAATATAAGATTGGTAAAAAACATTTGCCGCTAAGTTTATGTCAATAAAAAGTATTAATTTATACCCCAATGCAGGCCCAAGCACATAACAGTTCATAATTTGGTAGAACTTATTACATCAAATGTTTTTTTTAATAGAAAATCATGTTTTGTTGTTGCTCCAACGTTTTTACATTATCTTATTTGTCCCTTCTTGAAGAATTCTTAATTACAATATAATCTTGTTCAAGTCCCACTGTCCTTTTGATTTTTATATTGAAATCAGTATATAATTCGAAAAAAAGATTTGGCATAGAAATTTAGTGGTTTCCGATCAGTAATAGGTATATTTCATTTTTAAACAAATGGTTAATTAGTTTTCAGATTGTCGTTATAGATTTGTACATGTTTGCTATATATTCTATATATAGTTTTTGACAGTTAAGAGGAAAAAGTTTGGTCAATGTTGACGCCGTATACCTTTTTTAATTGTAAATGCCTGTTTTATAACTTAGCTCTAAAAATAAACATTTCAAAAAATAATACACTTTTTTGACAAATATGAAAATGAGATTTCATATCCAACAGCTTGGGCTCTATAGAAAATAAGACAAAACTTCAAATATCTGACGGGAATACTAATAATGCTATCATTACCATTATTTTCGTCGATGTTAATGATCGCATTATTAGTATTACAACATACACATATTTTATGAAATTAGAAGTTTTGATCTAACTAACTCAAAAAGCCATATGTCTTAAAAACAACAATTTATTTAAACATTAAAGCTCGATACAAAAATTGGGGGATTCTAAATATTACTTAATATATTTGTTTTGGCGGAATCTCACAATTAGTTTGCATATTTTCCTCTTATGACCACATACGATTTATAAGTCCCTTGAATCGTCAAAATCGGTGAGTTATAAACGATGTAACTAACACAACGTTCGATTATTCCAATTTCCCGAATTTTTGATGTTTTTCTCAAAACTTTCTTCGTAAAACACTTCCCAATGTAATTACAAACAGCCAAAGGAAAACGTGGGTGAAATCGGTAAAGACAATTTTTTCCATTATTGTGCGCTTTTAAGCATCCTTATCCTAAAGTACTTGGAAAGTAGTAACAAAATATCCATTTAATTGCCGTTAATTCGGTATTACCCATAGGGTAAGAAACTTCCCTCATAATTGCCGCTATAGTTTTTGGTATAGGCTCCACATAATGGAACCGCTCAATCTTTACTTTACCATGTCTTACTGTGTTTTATTTGAGAAAAATTTCACAACCTATACATACCATTAAAATTTCTTCACATAACATAACTTATATTTTCAAACTAAATAAATCTTGATTTTATGAAAACGTGAGCAAATAATGACAGCGATTAATCTTACTCTCTCTTTTCGATTTCTTATTATAAATTCAACTCTAATGAAAATATAAATTTATTTTCATATACAATAGATTTTTCAAGGCAATGACAATCCAATAAATTGGAGAAAATTAACATAATAATTTTCCATAATTGACAATTACTTAAATTACATTTTCGCCCAAAATATGTCCAAAAAGAACTACGAAGAGACGAAACCATAAAGGTTCGATATAAAATGTGTGGAAATGCTAATATCTTTTAAAATATATTTTGCAACATATTCGCGGATTTTTCTCAAAATCTTCTTTCATTAAAACCTTTCCACTTCAATTACAAACTATTAACAGAAATCAGTCCAGCCGTTTCTTTAAAATAATTTTTCCAAGATTTTCGCAAATTTTTCTCAAAATTTTCTTTCATAAAAACCTTCCGACTGTAATTACCAACAACTGAAAGAAATTTTGAGTCAAATCGGTCCAGCCGTTCTCAATTGATGCGTTATTATACATTTTTCTTGCTCCATTTATATATATATATATATATATAATATATAGCTTTTTGCATATGTATATCTGTCTATTCCTTACTAGAACTAGTAAAAAATTCTAAACTTTTTAGAGAAGAAAATTTAGAATTTTGGGATGGATTTGAGTAAAGCATACGTAATTTCCAAATTGATTAACGAAAATAGCTATTTTGTCAAAAACCTATGGTTTTTGGTGGTTTTCCGACGTTTCTGACGTATGTATTATACGTCGGAAATGTATGTCATTTACGTTACTGTTTCTGACGGACCATCTCTGGTCACCATACTAAGTCAAAACATGGGTCCATATTGAATGAGCTTATATTCTGCAAATAAGTTATTTTACCTTTAATTGCCTTGAATGATAAAAAACAGTCACTTTTTGAAAAATGTTCTTTTGCATCTCGGCTATAATGGGTACAAAACCTGAAGCTGGCATTTTCCAACTGCTTGCTCGTATTATATGGTGGTTGGTACAAACAATTATATTTTTATAATATGTATATATTATAGGTTCGGTTTAAAATCCATTTTTTTAGCTTTGAGTAAAGAATGAGTAGAAGCCCACATCTCATGTAGGTTTGTTGGACCGTAAGGTTCAAAACGATAAATATTCTGAATATGGTATATTGCTTCCCAGATTATATTTCCCTTAGAGTATATATAAATTTATTTTCGGAATCGACCCATACCTGGTTTGAGAGGGAATTTAATAGGCGGATTCAGATTTCCAATAAATCTTAATATAATTATAACGATCCTTTCCTAATTAGATATTCATTTATTTTTTGGTATTATTTTCCAATTTTTCAGATGATGTGTCATTTGGGACCAGTTTATGCCATTATGCGTAATCCAGCCTTCGTGAAGAATTTCCTAACGGTGGGAGATTGGTGTGCTCGGATCTGGTCTGAAGATTGTCGTGAAAGCTCAATTATCTGGACAAAAAGTAGTAATGCAATGTTGACGGATGGGGCATGGAGCTACACAAAGCAAGGTTCTAAATTTAACAATTTTTAATTTTTTAAAAATAAAATTTCTTCTAGGGTCTCACAATTTTTCATAACACGCATGGATGGTGTATTGGATACATGGGATTTGTTGCAGCAGCAAAATGAACCGGTGTTGACGGCAAAGGTGTGCGATGAACCACTGTACTGTGTACGCACCAATGAGAATGGCAAATTTGTTAGCTGTGGCAGTAAATTGGGTGCAACATTTCTAATTGAAGTATCGGAAAATATGGTGGCATCGAATAAAAATGATAAACCTTTGCTGACAGCGGTAGGGAAGATCTCTTCTTTAAAATGTTCCAATATTAACATTTATAAAATAATTGCAGATGTTTGAACGAGAAAATCGTCGTGAGAAAATCCTTGAAGCCAAATCACGTGAAATTAAATTGAAAGTGAAAACTAATTTGGGTCAAGATCAAGGTGATTTGACAATGTTGAATGGCAAAGTAAATGTGGCACCCTTTCAGTCGGTATGCGAACAGGCGGAGGCGGAATATTTTGCGGCTGTCGAACAGGAACGTTTGAGGAGAATACCGGGCAACAAGCGTAGGTGCTTAGGGTGACAATTTGAGGAATTTGTTTGACGGTTAATTGTAATTTTATTTTCTGTTTATGTTTCTTTACAGAGGACATGGACGATGCTGAGGTCTCGGATGCTGAAAGTGCAGTAAAAAATTAATTTTTTTTTTGTCAAAATTATTAGGATCAATTGAAATTATTCCATACTAATAGTTACATTTAGAATAGAAAGCTCAATGATTTTAAAGTGTGAATAAAGGACATTTAATTTAATTTATATTCTAAGGAAATCGTAGATTTTTATGTTAATTCAAAACTTCCTTTAGCCTAACACTTGCTGCTGAGATTTTTTTTCCAATTTTAATTTGCCGGTTTTTGATTTGTTTTGTGTGAAGCTAGTTGTGCCTTTTTATATGTTGCCGATAGCCGGACTCCAATAAAAAATATGCATTTTATTTCTTCTTTGAACCACCTCTACAACAAGAACAAACCGACAACGATAGCAACTTCAACGTCCACAAAACTATTCATTTATTTTAACTATTTAATCGTTGTTCATTTATCTTGTATCTGCGACTGCTGCTGCCAGTGTCTGTATCAGCCAGTCTTCATACTTGTGTGGACCAAAGAAAACAAAAAAAAAACCAACTAACAACATCAAATAATAAAAAAACTCATGCATGCAACAGTCAGCATCCAGCCTAACACCCTGAAAACCGACAATTTCAGTTTATGACGTTTTGGATGTGTTGCACTTTTTTGTTGTCCAAATATTCCACACAGTATTACGAAGCCATTCAAAATAACGTATTTTCAGACAATATACAGAAAATTTTCTGCAACAATTAATACAGGACATACCACAATAGATAGCAGAGGCATACTCCGTTCAACTTACCCACCTGATTGACGAAAGCAATCCTTGTCCCGATAATAATATAGAAGCGCAATGGCAAATAATTGCCCATTCCCTACTGCTGCAAAATGAAAACTTGGGTACCAAAAACCACAATTAAGAAACCCATGGCACGATCAGGAGTGTCGTAATGCTACTAAGGCGAAAAACGCAGCGTATAGGGCTACTCTGTAGACAGTAGCAACACGTAATGCGAATAAGAATTTTCGGAAAAAAGGAGGAAGGAGAAACGTATTTTCCAAAAAACAAAAAAAAAACTAGAAAAAAGTGAGCAAATCGAGATGTACAGGAGTCAGAATGAAGTCCGAAATTGTTACCAAGGATTAAAACACTAACCGAAGGCTTTGATGCAGGCACGTCCTCCTGTAGATATGAAGAAGTTAACCTTGTGACAGATACAGACATCGTGTTGACGATCTGGAAGGATCATTTTGAAAAGATTTTGGTATTAAATAGTGGCGGTGAAGAAGATACCCCAGAACCAATAAGTGATTACAGTATGGAGTGTATACCACCTAGCCAAGATGAGGTCAGAATAGCCATAAATCGGCTGAAGAATAATAAAACAGCAGGTTACCATGCATTACCGAACTATTCAAGACTAATGGTCAGATGCTGGTAAGGAGTATGCACCAGCTGATTAGTACAATTTGGCTAGAGGAATGCATGCACAATGATTGGAACCTCAGCATCCTGTGTCCCGTGCACAAAAAGGAAGACATGACGATATATGCCAAATATAGAGAAATAAGTCTCATATGGAAAAAATAAGTCATACCAATGCGGCTTTAGATCTGGCCATTGACCAGATTTTCACACTGCGCCAGATCTTAAAAGACCCACGAAAACACATCGACACATTCCACCTATTCGTCGATTATTAAGCCGAAATCGACAGCCCTATCCGTTCAGAGGCGTTTAAAGCCTTGTCTGCGTTAATTAATATGGCTATGCAGAATACTTTAACTGACACAGGGTAGGCAGAAAAGGGCCTCTGGGAGACCTTCAATATCGAAAGAGGATTCAGACAAGGTGTCTGTTTGTAGTGTGACCTTTTTAACATCCTGCTTAAAAGGTCATACGAGATGCAAATGTGAACAGAAATGGCACTGCGTACACCAAACACAATATGTTACTAGCCTATTGAGTCTACCAAAGTGGGACTTGCAGTAAATGTCGAAAAGACTAAGCTGACGGTATCAACCCGCCAGACGTCCAGTAGACTCGGACCATGTAAAAGCAAGCCAAGTGATGGTTCACGCAGAAGGGGAAGGTCACGATAGCGATGGAAAGATCATCGGAAAATGGTCTTTCAAATTGGATGAGATGCGCACATGACCGATGCGGCTGGAAATCTTTTTTAAGCTCGGCTTATGGAACAACCGTTCTGTCATAAGCCAGCTAAGTAAGTAAGTAATGAAACAAAAATGAATGACTGATAATTTTTAAAATATTTTTTTATTTATTTTCAAATATTTATAATTGTGTATGTGAGAATTTTGACACACTTCGACAGGCCATGGAAGCTATTTTGGACACAGCTGTTATAAATATATAAAAGTAGTTAAAAAGTTTACAATATTGTTATATTTTTTATTAATTATTGTCTTTACAATAATAATTTCATCTGATAGGTGGGTCAGTTTCAGAACCGACATTTTGAAATATTTTTTTGGTAGGGAGATTTTCTACTCCATCATGATCCAAAATTTCGAAATATGGGATGGAGCGTTGTATAGGGGATTCCCAAAGAAAAAAGTAATATTAATCATGTTAAGAGGAATAAACCAGTGATCGGAGCAGTAAAGTCGGAAGGGGTCGTCCAATAAAAACCTACACAGCTACCACGAAAATTATACTTTCCGCGGTTAAATATTCTGAACTTGGGCAATATTTCGCAATAGTTTCACCCTGTTGAAAGATTATAGGCCAACATCTCTTTCCAACCATGGCATAGGTTCCAAATCTTGTTCTCCAAAGTGAATGTTTACGCCATAAAATAAAAATTAGGTCACTTTATGTTTCGGTTGATTTGACCCTCGGAATATTGACCGAAATTCATTTAAACAACGTGTAAAATATTGGATGTTCTGCATATAATATTGACAACTAGAGCGACTAGAAAATTTGATAAAAAATAAAGTTTTCCGTTCATTGCAAAACAATCCATAGTCATCCCCTTAATATTAACCGATCATTACCAAAAACAGTACGGGTCTACTTTGGCCAAAATCCGTCCTACATGAAAATTTCCTACATGTCTACATCGACTCAGCTAGTTGAGATATGGCGAAAAGGAGGGCTTAGGACCACCTTTTTGCAGCCCCAATAGCGTTACAAACTATTGAGGCTGCACAAAGCTATAATACCCTGACAACATAGTTGTGTAGGGTATAAAAAATCAAGTTGGAGTGAATTCGGTTCAAAAACTTGCCCAAAATACAGAAAAGTTGGGGTTACCTAATGGTAACCCCGGCTATCCGGAAACATGGGCCAACATTTTATATTGCTCCCAATTGGTTCAAACTTGTGCCCAAGCTCCCCAAAATACTATCTGTGGGATGTAGCGTTATATGGGGGCTTCAATAAAAGGTGTACCAATACTGATAATTTTTAGTAGGAAGTAGGAACCCAAAATAACAAATTACAGCTTTTACGGTTGAAACATGTGACCAAAAACGCAAAAATACCAAATACTGGGTGGCACCTTTATATAGGGGTTTGCTCCGAAACTTGATCTAATTTTGTACATTTCTTGTAGGCAGATCTGATACCCAACTTGAATCCAAAATACTAAATTACAGCTGATTCTGTTGAAAAACGTGTACCGTTATATGAAGGTTATCCTAAAAAGTGAACGAATGTTGATCAATTTCGGTAGGAAAATTTGATACCAATGAGATCCAAACTAAGCAAATTACAGTCAATTCGATTGAAAACCCTGCCAAAAATCCCATAATACCGATTATTTGGAGGTAACGTTATATAGGGACGAAAACGTGGACCGATATTTTATTTAATTTTAAATGACAACCATCAGAATGTATATGCACACAACTGGAGGTTTAAAAATGTATCTAAGTTTAAGGACCACAGGCGAAGGGCAACCTCTACACAACCTTCTGAGACAGGAGTGGACTCAAATTCTGAGTCTGAACATGAAGATACAACAAATACAACAATCGGAGAAAACCGAAGGGGCGTAGAGGCTGATAAAATAGTTGAGGTGAATAAGGAATAAGGACATCGCCACGTTCCCTACAAGAAAAAAATGTTATCTGGGGCACAAAACCGAAACATTGCCAGAATGAACGGAAGAAACAAATTTAAACAGCAATCCACACTTCACTTCCTTTGAAGCAGATGAAACGCCAAACCCGTAAAAAATAAAATGAGCTTTCCGTAGGCTGATAGCAAGAGAAGGAATAGCCTATTCGAAATCAAAGAAGACTGTACAAATTTATTGACTGTCACCTTCAGTCAATAGATTTTGAAGGAGACTGTCAAATGCAAATGCTGTAAAATGCTTCAAATCTTCTTTGAACTATGGTTACTACCAACACGACTAACTAGTGCACCTGGAGAACTAAAAAAGGAGATGTAGGATGCGATCAATAGCCAGGAAAAAACACTCGAAAAATAGAGTGAGAAAACCGAGTAGAATATAACAGAATCTCAAGAGGACTTTCTGATTGATAGATGTTAAATCTTCTTCAGCTCTGATGGAAAGAATAATTAAAGAGTTTAATCCAGGAACACAATTTTAGTAGCATCAGTCTACCTTCCGTGAGGTAGTGCCAATACTAACGATGTAACAACCCTTAACATAGAAGAATGATCAGGCCATATCTCCGAACATTTAACTATGTCGAATTGTTCCTTCTGGGGTATTCATATACTCGCCAAGGACTTTCATTCCCAATAGGGGTTTTCAACTGCAGCAGTACTCCGAGAAATGCAATTAACAATCATTAATACATTCATATCGATACAGCCACGTCCATAGACTTATAATAATTTCGGATGCCACCCATACATCTCCTCAAATATTTCATTTTATTTTCCCCGGCCACTGTGCATTTTTTCGGGGGTCCTCTCAACGGTTGTTTTGGGTGTGGTAATTGCCGGTTTGTTTCTGTAAATTTGTTGTTCAAGCTGTCGGTAATTTTTTTGTTTATATGTTGGCCCCACCGGCTAAATCTTTGCAGATTCATTTGCTTGCTTATTTCTTAGATGTCGTATAT